CTTATATATATTTTGACTGCGTGGTGTTATTTTTATTGTTCCGATTATTGCTAAAAATAGTTGGGTTTTTGTCAATAACCCGTTACTTGAATAAAATCGAAAGTCTTCTGTGTTACTTGAATATTTATAGTTTAAAATTGTATAAAAAAACGTGAAATTATTTATAAAAATACTAGACTTGTCTTACAAGGTAGCCTGTTTACAAACATTCTACCTCATGGTACAGGCTAGTTGTTTTAGACATTGAACTATCTCACATGTTAAACAAAAGAAACCGCTTATTCCCGCAGTCGTATTAACTTATGTCGCAAAACTAATGAAGTCATGTTTTGTAATGGATGTGAATTTTTTTCTTGTCGGACGGTTTAATGTAAATGTTGTAATACAATTAACTCATTTTGTTCGCATCGGATGTTTCAGTAATTATTGAAGTGATCATATGTTATGTTAATCCTGACTGTTTGGGTAAACATGAGTAATCGTCTATTTCGTTTGAAAATATTCAGTATTAAGCTATTCTATCCCAAGCCACGTGACATAAAAATTAATGAATCATGGTCTTTATTTTTTTAATCTGTTTTTGGAAACAAATGAAAAATAATCAAATGTAAACTGTCCTTAAGGAAATAGTGGTAGAAAAGAAAACAGAATTAAGGATTTTTGTCTTTGTTCTTCAAAGAATTTTCTAACGATTTTTTAAAAATTTCAGCAGTTTATTTTATATTTCCAGCAATCATCTTTCATTTTCTTGAATCAATCAGATTAAAAAAACAAAAACAAACAAAAAAAAAAACAGAGAATGCTGCCAATATTACCGATTTAATTTATCCAATTTCTGGACAGAGTTCAAGCTCTTTACTCAAAATTTCATGCATTTTTTTTTTAGATCCAAACTTATTCACCAAAACATCTACATAGGTTTGGATGCAAAAATAATTTTAAAAAAAAACAATTAAAACAAAATTCTACAGAAGGATGCTGAGAATACCATGGACAAAACATATGAGCAACGAGGAAAATTTAAGGAAATGCGAACAAAAAGAACGCGTGTACTTTTTAAATTAATTCACTCCAAGCAAGGCGATAATGCCACTAAGATGCAAGGGGCTACTGGGAGTGAAAGAGAAAAAAAAACTTTAGAAGGAACCGGAGATCTAATCAAAAACAAGAAACAATAAATAAACCTATGCTACTGTTCAAAAGACAAGGGAGGAGTGTGAACCGGACGATAGACAATCAAATGAACTATTGAGGAAAAATAAATAAATAGTAAATAAAATTACAGAATTTAAGCGGAAACGTTAGTCGTATAAAATTGCAGTAGACTTTAAAACGAACAGGAAACCCAACACTAAGCGGGAAACAAGAGATAAACCTTTACTCCTGTTCAAAAGACTCGGCAAGAGTGAACTGGACGATAGACGAACTTACCTACTCCTATTACTTAGAATCAGAAAGAGGCTGTTGAAATTTCTCCCATTTGGAAGTTGATATCCTGACGATTGGTTAATTTCGCACACTTCACATGCCTTACAACGTTTAAGTGAGATATAGAAAGTATCTCTGCAATGTCTTGTGTCGTGTGATCTGCATTATTTTTAATCAACGTTTCGATTTGATCCAGAAAGGTCTCGGTCTACCAGAACAAAATTTCAACTTTTGTACCATACGAACTGCTTACGAACAGTATAATCAGCTTTAGCACCATATTCATAAATGTCACTTTTTCTTTTTCTTTTTTTTTTGCTGTTTATACGACTTTGTGTTTCTTTCCGGACAAAAAGAGCATCAAATGACGAAAATGCTCATTTTCCTCCATTTTCCCCTTTAACGTAATATCAATTAAAATACACGACTAGTATAGAAGGATGGGTCTTATCAACGTATTTAGATAATCTATACAATCAGATGATCATAAGATAACCTAGAGTTTCTGTTTGGATTTATCATTGGTGGAACACAACCTCAACAACATAAAATATACATATGATACCGTACTGTTGGCAGAAACAGAAACAAAATAGCAGGAATCTTCAGACAACGTCGTAAAGGAAAGCGAGAAGAAAAGAAATAATCATCAGTGTCACGTTTAAGAATATGTATATATGCCATAAATTTCAGTTTGGTGTCAAAAGAATTCATGTATTCAGAGGCCATCAGCTGCAAAACTGCTATGATTTTTTGTTCCAACTCTATATGTATATATGCATGTGTGTGTTTGCGTGTGTGCGTGTATGCTTGTGTGTGAGCGTGTGCGTACGTTTGCGTGCATGCCTGCCTCTATGTATGTGTGCGTGTGTAGAAAGAAAGAACTTTGCTAAAAGTAATATCGTTTAAGTAATATCAGGACTATTTAGTAACAAAGATTTGAAATATATTTATATTTAAAATCTTTGTTACTAAATAGTTAAATAATAAATTGGAAAACGGTGTTTTTGAACAGTTTCAATTTAGGCTTTGTTTCAATCTAAATACTTTACTGGACAGAAACGGGTGTTAGCTAGAAACGGGTGTTTGATAGAAACAGGTGTTTGATAGAAAGAGTGATTGATAGAAACAGATATTTGATAGAAACAGATATTTGATAGAGACAATTGTTGGGTAGAAACGGATGTTTGAGAGAAACGGTTGTTTGATAGAAACAGGTGTTAGATGGAAACGGGTGTTTGATAGAAACGGGTGTTTGATAGAAACGTGTGTTGGCTAGAAACGGTTGTTTGATAGAAACAGGTGTTTGATAGAAAGAGTGATTGATAGAAACAGATATTTGATAGAAACGGGTGTCTGATAAAAACAAGTGTTGGGTAGAAACGGATGTTTGACAGAAACGGGTGTTTGATAGAAACGGGTGTTTGATAGAAACGGGTGTTTGATAGAAACGGGTGTTGGCTAGAAACGAGTGTCTGTATAGAAAGGGGCGTTGGATAGAAAGGAGCGATTGATAGAAACAGATATTTGATAGAAACGGGTGTTGGCTAGAAACGGGTGTTGGCTAGAAACGGGTGTTGGCTAGAAACAGGTGTTTGTATAGAAAGGGGCGTTGGATAGAAACGGGTATTTTAAAAGAAACGGGTGTTTGATAGAAACGGGTGTTTAATAGAAACGGGTAGATTCTTGCTTCCTGAAACGAAATGTAAAAGAATTTGAAGAATCTAAGAACTATATGGGAAATGGTTTTTAATCGTTTTACCACAAGCAAGGCGACAATGCCGCTAAGACGCATGGGGTTGGGGGGTTACAGCAGGTGAAAGACAATGAGAAGAATTAAGTTTGGAGAAGTGATGAAAATTACAATAAAAGAACAGGGTTCAGAAAGATAGAAGATGATATTGCATTTAAATTTTCGAAGATTGTGGGAGGCATGGAAGCAAGAAATTGGAAGGGAGTTCTACACTTCAAGACATCCCAGGATGTCTATAAACTCACTAAGAAATATTTTATGAGTGGTTTTTCTCCGCCCTTTTTGACTTCAATCTGTCCTGTGAGTATCAGATTTTCCAAGCCCTCTTACTTCATTTTGTGCCGTGGATATTTCAACTGTCTCTTCCTGATGTTCAGTATAAGTTTCCTTTTGTTTCCATTTTTCTAAAACTTAGCCGTTGCTCACATATTTGGTCCATGGTATCCCCAGCAACCTTCTGTAGAAGCACATTTCTGCTGCTTCAAGTATCTTCTTCATCTTTGAGAAGATTGTCCAGAATTCACTGACATATAAGAAGACGAATATTGCGTAACAGTTCAGTACTCTTTTCTTTGTTTCTCAATGCTCTGCTTCACCCTTTCTGTCTTCTGTTAAAACACTTCCCGTATATTTAAATTTTTGTACTTCTTTGATTTTTGGTATCTCTCATTTGTAATTTGCATTTTGTGTCCATCCTTTTGCTAACAACATCTATTGTGTCTTCCCGCAGATTATATTTAGTCCTTTGTTCTCGCTAATAAAAAAAAAATAAGCCAGTTTCTGTTTTTTCAAGTGTCCCCTGGGGTGTTTTGAAGTGTTCGAAACACTATTGATAGGGGATTTTTTTATTGGTTAAATTCTCTACGTTGTCCCAGTAGAAAATAGGTTACTTGAGATTTAGATAAAAATAAATAAATGGAGAGTTACGGCTAAACTTCTACCCCAGAAATTCGACAAATATTTTCATTTTTTCCGTTGTCATTTCCGCTTTTAAAAGTGAGTGATTCGTGGAGAGCAACGTCAATAAGAAACATAAGAGTTTTAAAATCTCTTGATTTTACACGGAAAATATTTACTTTTCAACATAATATCTTTCTTTGACAATGCACTTAATTCAGTGGAGAAAATGAGCCACATAGACTGAACATGTTACAAGTAATAGCTGTGTCAAATTACGGGTTTCACGGTTGAGTAATGGATAGCGGCTCGGATTGAAGAATCGGAAAGCCGAGTTCGAATTCCAGTCGAATCCATGATATTCACTTACGTGCTAATACCCTTGGGAAAGATCTGAATCCTCACAGTTATGGGTAAATAGCAGGACAGACCGGGTTCTATAGTCTTGGATGACAACCGTAGAAAGAAATGGCAAACTACTGCGAGAAAAATCTTCCTCGTCAGTCATATATCGAAAAATACATGATTTCCTAAGTGTGTATCACGCATGGCACATAACTGAATGTTAGTTGATTCTTCGGTAGACATATAACTTATGAAGATATAACAGAGCCATAAGCCTTAAAAACGTAAGTTAAAAACATCAGAATTTTTTCAGGTTACTTTCCATATTTTGGGTAGAAATTTCTTCGTTCGACTTATGTTATTAAAATAATCAGCGAAAACTGGTTTATTAGATTCTCCAGGCTGAAAAGAATTTGCCTGGGATAGCGTCAAAACCTTATGTAGGATAGACAGGATTTTGTTGGGTACATTCTGACAGTTTCTAAGCGCAGAAATTCACGTTTAACGGTTAGATAGGGCTAGACTGCACATTGAGAACACACGGTTCTTCATAATGACTGAGATCCACTGGAAGTACTTGAACTAAACGTGAATTTTGGACTTAATGCATAATTTTGATCTCGATGTACAACACATTCAGAAATTAGAAAAATAGAATAAAACATTAAGCAGAATTTGTTGAACGTATTTTGCAAAATTGTTTTACACACACACGCACACACGCACGCATGCACACGCACACACACATATATATATATATATATATATACATATATATATATATAGACACTGAAGTATATAAACATTGCATAGATTACGTTTTAAAAGGTGAAAGAAAAATAACATTTATATATATATATATATATATATATATATATATATATATATATATATATATATATATATATATATATATATGTTAAAAAAAAACATTAAAAAGTAAAACGTTAAACAGAAACAATAGAGGCAAGATAGATTACGAAAAAGTGCATAAATAAGCACACACAAACACACACACACACACACACACACACACACACACACACATATATATATATATATATATATATATGAAGAAATTTTGAAAAAACAAACAAAAATCCTTAAATGTAGTTAAAATGAAAGAAATGTCGACGTCTGACGTTTCGGTTTAATAAAACTTTTTCAAGACAATTCTTTATATGAATTACGAATATGTGCGTTACTTCAGGCTCTCTTTTAAACAAGTTGAGAAATATTGATATAGATAACAAATTACTAGCTAGCTTAGACATCAAATCTTTATATACTAATATACCTGTTGATAAATGCATTAAACAATTAGAGAACCACCTTAAGAAAAATTGACTTTAAGCTACCTATCTCTATCTCGAAATGCATCAAATTATGCATCCTTTGCACTTCACATTGTTTCTTCCAATATAATAATATTTATTATAAACAAAAATTTGGTTTACCGATGGGGGGAGTCTCTCTCTGGATTCCTAGCATGCATATTTCTAGAATTTCTTGAATCTGGACCTTTTAAAGATGTCATTCCACCTGATACACATTACTTTCGATACATCGATGACATTTTATTTATCTACCCACATAAGCATGATTTAAACGAGATTACTGATAGATTAAATAGAATAGAACCTACTATAGAATTTACCTATGAACTTGAATCTAATAATTCCTTACCTTTTTTTTAGACATATTACTCATTAAAAATAAAAATAAATTAGAATTCAAAGTATATCGTAAACCTACATGTAAAAATGACTATTTACATTTTTACTCTCACCATGATACTAACACTAAGAGGGGTATTGTTATTGGATTCTATTTGAGGGCTCTTCGCATCTGTTCATCAAAATATTTAAATGATGAATTTACATATATTGAGGATACCTTTTCAAATCTTTCGTATCCGAGACAATTATTACAGAGAGCTAAAAATAAAGCGTTGAAAATTCACTCATCAGCGCAAAATGACACCTCAAAGGCCACTACAACTAGATCAATGAAAGATACAATTTCAGCTGCCTCTGATAATATTTCGTTTGGTCGCATCTTTTTACCAAATAACCATTTGACCGAACGTATCTCTCATAATCTAAATGCATTAAAAATTAGAACTACTATATTACCTACTAGGACTATCCGTAGTTTATTAAATAGCACCAGCAGACAACATATTACATCCGATGCTTGCATCTATCAAATATCATGCAAAATTGTGACTAAAAAATATGTGGGTGAAACAGGTAGGTCCTTAAAATCTCGTGTTTTCGAACATAAACGAGATATTCGTCTCGGTAATTTTAACAATGCTTTAGTTGTACACACAACTAAAGCAGATCATAATTTCGATTTCGATTCCGTGAAAGTATTAAAATATTTTCATAATAAAAATCTCAGGAGGATTTATGAAGCAGGTATAATATCCATCTCACGCACGGTGAATACTAGACCTGGTTTCTTTAATATTTCCCCTTTTTTAGCGAGATTGATGCTCGACAAGCATACACATAAGAATTTTAGAACCTAATAGAATTCTTTTCATTTTCTTTTTCATTTCAAAATAATCACAAACTTTTAGGAATACGTTATGAAAGCATCGCCCATGTGACGACAGCGTGACCATGTTAGACGGAAGGCTGATCATTTTAAAAATTTTCAGTTATCTGTTCTGAATAAGACTTGTGTTTTATGTCCATCGTATTTGTCATATTGAACTGAATTGTATTTTGATGAATATTGTCTTGAAAAAAGGTTTATTAAACCGAAACGTCAGACGTCGACATTTCTTTCATTTTAACTACATTTAAGGATTTTTGTTTGTTTTTCAAAAATTTCTTCATTCTGTCGGATTTATATCCATTTACACTTGCTTATATATATATATATATATATATATATATATATATATATATATATATATATATATATATATATATATATATATATATATATATATAAACATTGTATATACATACATTACGCGTTTTAAAAAGCTCTTCCCAAATTAAAAACATTTAATATATATATATATATATATATATATATATATATACAATAGAGGCGAGATAGTTGACGAAAGAGTGCATAAATAAGCACACACACACACAAACAAACTAATATACATTATCATTCCAATTCCGCACAGACAAACTAGAATTATGATACACTTACACACATGAATCATACACAGGAACTCTGCTTGAGACGACAGAGGCTTGACCAATGAAAAACAAACGCCGCAAAAATTTAAAATACCAGAATTTTTTCTTTCCTTCTTTTTTCCATATCTCATTCTCTGATGGCACTTTAATAAAAGCGACGCATGTTTGATTTATAAACGTTTCCTGTTTGTTCCTTATCCTATCATTCTCTCTGATTCCGATCCATATTTGAATCGGGATCTCTGAAAAATCGCTAAAAAACTGCATGATAAAAACGGCCTTAAACTTGATGAAAAAAGAAAATGACCGTCTAAATGCTTATGTTATTATTATAAGGAAAGACTAAAGTATTTTTGATTATTTTTTTACATTTTTTAATCCTTCCTAGCACGGCCGAAATTTTATTTTATTTTTTTTTTTTTTTTTTGAGTCAGCGAAATTACCATAAAATAGATGATGCCACCATTTTTAAAGAAGTTTATAAACAAAAGTTAAATTCTACGTTTAATAATCTTGTAAAAATCAATC